GAGAGTGAGACAGAGAGAGAGAGACAGAGATACACACACAGAGAGAGAAAGATGGAGAGAGGCAGAGAAAGAAAGAGAAACAGAGAGAGAGAGAGAGACAGAGAGAAAGAGAGAGAGAAAGAGAGACAGATAAAGAGAGAAAGAGATGTACAGAGAGACAGAGACAGAGAAAGAAAGAGAAACAAAGAGAGAGAGAGACACACAGAGAGACAGCCAGAGAGAGAGAGAAAAAGAGAAAGACATCTTTGTCTCTGAGAGAAAGAGAGAAAGAGAGAGAGAGAGTAACAAACGGAGAGAGTGAGACAGAGAGAGAGAGACAGAGATAGACAGAGAGAGAGAAAGATAGAGAGAGGCAGAGAAAGAAAGAGAAACAGAGAGAGAGAGAGAGAGAGAGAAAGATACACAGAGAAAGAGAGAGAGAAAGAGAGAGAGAGAGAAACAGAAACAAAGAAAGAGAGAGACACAGAGACAGAGATACACAGAGAAAGAAAGAGAAACAGAGATTCCTAAAGAGACAGACAGAGAGAGAGAGAGAGAGAAAGAAAGAGAAACAGAGAGAGAAACACAGAGAGAGACAGAGAGAGTGAGAGAAACAGAGAAAGAGACACAGAGAGATAGAGAAACAGTGACAACGAAAGAAAGAGACAGAGAGAGGCAAAGAAAGAAAGAGAAACAGAGAGAGAGACACAGAGAGAGACAGAGAGAGTGAAAGAAACAGAGACAGAGACAGAGAGAGAGATAGTAACAGATGGAGAGACAGTGACAGACAGAGAGAGGGAGACAGAGAGAGAGACACAGAGAGAGACAGAGAGAGAAAGATACACAGAGAGAGAGAGAGAGAGAGAGTAACAGAGACAAAGAAAGAAAGACAGAGAGAGGCAAAGAGAGAAAGAAAGAGAGAGAGAGAAAAACAGAAACAAAGAAAGAGAGAGACAGAGGGAGGGGGAGAGAGACACAGAGACAGAGATACGCAGAGAAAGAAAGAGAAACAGAGAGAGAGAAAGAGAGAGAGATAGTAACAGATGGAGAGACAGTGACAGACAGAGAGAGAGAAAGAGAAACAGTGAAAGAGTCAGAGAGAGAGAGAGAGACATAATAATCTAACAGAATAATAACAGAATAATGAATGAGAGAAATGTTCAGTGTTTTAAAAGATGAGTCTGAGAGAGAGAGAGACAAAGAGAGAGACAGACAGAGAAACAGAGAAGAGAGGACAGAGAGAGAAAAACAGAGACAGAGAAAGAGACACAGAAAGACAGAGAGAAAGATAGACTGAGAAATAGTGAGAGAGAGAGAGACAGACAGAGAAATAAAGAGAAACAGAGACAGAGAGAGAGACAGAGAGAGGCAGGGAAAGAAAGAGAAACAGAGAGAGACACACACAAACAGAGAGAGAGAGAGAAATAAAGAGAGACAGAGAAAGTGACAAAGAGACAGAGTCAAGAGAGCGTAAGAGAGACAGAGAAAGAAAGGGAAACAAAGAGAGAGAGCGATATAGAGAGAGAGAGAGAAAGAGAGAGACAATAATCTTACAGAATAAGGAATGAGAGAAACGTCCAGTGTGTTTTCAAAGCTGAGTCACAGAGAGAAAAAGAAAGAGATACACAGAGACAGAAACTGAGAGTGAGACAGAGACAGACACAAGGACACAGAGACAAAATAATAAAAGGATACTAACAAAAAAAAAAAAATGAATGAGAGAAAAGTTAAGATTGTTTTCAAAGCCGAGTGTGACTCACTTGAACTGCATGACGCTGCTGTGCTCGTTGAATCTGGTGATTATTGACACGTCGATAAAAGGCTTTGGTTCTGAGGAGAGGAAAAGACAGAGTTAGAGAAGATTTTTTTGTGGACTGTATTAATTAAATGTTTTTTAAATGGGGTCTGTTTTGATGTTTAACCCAGTTGCACTTTGTAGTGGGGCAAATGTGCTGTGACCTGAGCTTTCATGCAGTAAAAATACTTGGATTTCATATTTGCATGAATGGATCTGTGGAGCTGGCGGTTTGTAACGTTCATCTGACAAGGTAAATTAGATCAGTTTTACATCAGGGTCAGTCCCTATGAAATCAGCTGTTTTCAAGGAACCTTCCCTATGAGCCGTCTCAGATTTAGCTGAAAAAAAATTCAAAAAAATTCTAAAATTACCAAATGAAAGAATCTCAAATTTTAGCTCAATCCCTTGAGTCGTTCCTGAGTTATGGCCCGTTGAAATTTTGGTGCCATGTTCACTTTTTTGGAAGCCTTATTTTATAAGCATGTTTGAGAGAACATAACTTGTGTCTGTTGTCAAATATTGAGTATCTTTATTAATTTATTATTAAAATCTCACATTTGGTTGTAGCTGAATTTTTTATTTAATTTTTTTCCAATTTTTGATGTCCATCTATTTACTCCAAGCAGATATTTACAAACTAACTGTTGAACCTGAATATTTGAGAGAATGTCCACAGTGAGTCTCAAATATGGTCACAGACCAAATGTGACCTTTTAGGCCCCTTCTTTAGACCCTTGGCCCCTTCAAAGGGCCATAACTCAAGAACAACTGAAGGGATTGAGCTGAAATTTTAGATTCTTTCATTCGGTCATTTTAGAAATTTTTTGAATTTTTTTTTTAGCCAAATCTGAGATGGCTCATGGAGGAGGACGGCTGATTTCATATGGACGGACACATCATTGACACTGGTGTTGGCTCAGATCAAATCTTTAGTTCTTAAGATATGGATAACTGACAAAAAACAAAAGTCAAATGAACAAATACGCTGGTTTTGGTCCTTCTCCTCAGAGCAGTGACATCAGGTGTGGGAGCCAGACGGCTGAGCTGTGCAATTAATTCACTAATCGAACACAGAGCCGTACTATCCTTGGACTGTCTGTAAAGTCTGTATCAGGCTGTATAAAACCATTTAAACTCTTTTTATCAAGTGTTTTTTTTTACCTGAATCTAGAGCGATGGACTTTGGTGGTGGCACAGGGTGGAAGACGATGGGGAAGATGGCTCCAGGCAGCTGGTTGTCCACCTGGAATCAGAGTATAAAATCAGAAAAACCTCCAGCTTTTCAACACAAGCAGGCGGCGAACCGTTCATCAAAAAAGTTATAGTGCAAAGAAATTTAACAACAACTTTTTTCTCCACACATGGTCTGTCAGTCACATGT